CCTCGGCAAGCGTCAAGGCGGACAGTCAGCGTGCAATCACAGAGGTTCTGCATAGTTGCCCAGGAGAGCTTCATCCAGCCCCAAGCACCCCAGGGGACTGGTAGGAAATGAAATGCATGTTGTTTTAACATTGCCTTTTTTAAAAAGGTCCATTTGTGCATTTAAGCTTTTCTATTGCAATCTGTGTTTCCTATAGCAGTCCTTAAGTATTGCACAGAAACTATAAAATACTGATGTCTCTTAGCCCCTCCCTGCACCCTCTTGGCAGCTTTTGGCTGGTGCAGACGCCCCACCTTATCCCTTTGAACATGTACAACCCTCTAAACTGAAAATTCTTTATTCACTCTCTCTCCCATTTCAGCCAAAGCTGGACCCACTTCCTCGGCAGCGTCAAAGGCGGACAGTCACGTGTGCACCACAGAGGTTCTGCCAGCTTGCCCAGGAGAGGTCAATCCAGCCCAAGCACCCCAGGGGGTCTGGTAGGAAATGAAAATGCATGTTGTTTTTGTGCTGTGCCTTTTTTAAAAGGTCCATTTATTGCATTTAAGGCTTTTTCTACTGTGCGCCAAAGGTTTCCTTTTGCGGTCTTTAAGTGCACAGAAAAGGCTATTTTAAATGCACAACAATGATGTGTCTTGCCCCCTCCCTGCACCCTCTCTGGCTGTTTTTTGCTGGTGCAGAGGCTCCACCTTTATCCCTTTAGACCCGGTACAACCCCCTCTAGATTGAAAATTTCATTTCAACTCTCTCTCCCATTTTAGCCAACGAAGCTGGGCTGCTTCCTCGGCGCCAAGGCGGACAGTCAGTGAAATTGCACCACAGAGGTCTCTGCCAGCTGCCCCAGGAGAGCTTCCATCCAGCCCCAAGCACCCCAGGGGACTGGTAGGAAATGAAATGCATGTTGTTTTGCTGTGCCTTGTTTGTGGGTGAGGTCCATTGTGCATTAAGGCTTTTTCACCTGTACTAAGGTTTCACATAGCAGTCCTTAAGCGCACAGAAATGCTGCAAATGCACAATGATGCAATGGCCCCTCCTGCACCCTCTTGGCTGTTTTGGCTGGTGCAGAGGCCCCACCTGATCCCTTTTGACCGTAGTACTGCAAGCCCCTCTAGACTTAGAATTTCATTCATTCTGCCTCTCCCACCATTTCAGCCAAGCTGGGTCAGTTCGCTTAGCCAAGAAGGACAGTCAGTGTGCACCACAGAGGTTCTGCCAGCTGCCCGGGAGAGCTTCATCAGCCCCAAAGCACCCCAGGGGACTGGTAGGAAATGAAATGCATGTTGTCTTTTCTGTGCCTTTTGAAAAAGATCCATTGTGCATTTAAGGCTTTCTGTGCACTTAAGGTTCCTATAGCAGTCCTTAAGTGCACAGAAAAATATTAAATGCTGTGAAATCTTAAGCCCCTCCCTGCACCCTCTTGGCTGTTTTGGCTGGTGGGGCCCCACCTTATCCCTTTGACCATGTACAGCCCTCTCTAGACTGAAAATTTCATTCACACTCTCTCCCATTTCAGCCAAGCTGGGCAGCTTCCTTTCAGTGTCAAGCGGACAGTCAGTGTGCACCACAGAGGTTCTGCCAGCTGCCCAGGAGGCATCTAGGCCCCAAGCACCCCAGGGGACTGATGAGGAAATGAAATGCATGTTGTTTTACTTGTGCCTTGTTTAAAGGTCCATTGTGCATTTAAAGGCTTTTTCTGTGCACTAAAAGTCTCCTATAGCAGTCCTTAAGTGCACAGAAAACCTTAAATGCACAATGATGTCTTGGCCCTCCCTGCACCCTCTTGGCTGTTTTTGGCTGGTGCAGACGCCCCACCCATCCCTCTTTGACCATGTACAACCCTCTCTGGACTGAAAATTTCACTTTTCTCTCCATTTTAGCCAAGCTGGGCCACTTCCTCGGCGTCCAAAAGCATGACAGTCATGCGTGCACCACAGAGGTTCTGCCCAGCTGCCCAGGAGAGCTTCATCCAGCCCCAAGCACCCAAGGGACTGGGTAGGAAATGAAATGCATGTTATTTTTGCTATTGCCTTTTTTAAAAGGTCCATTGTGCATTTAAGGCTTTCCTGTGCACTTAAGGCTTCTGGCAGCAGTCCTTAGGAGTGCAACAGAAAAATCTTTAAATGCACAATGATGTCTTAACCCCTCCCTGCACCCTCTCTGGCTGTTTTGGCTGGTGCAGAGGCCCCCACCCATCTCGCTTTGACCCCATGTAACAGCCCTCTCTAGACTAGAAAATTTCATTCACTCTTTCCCCGGCATACCAGCCAAGCTGGGCCGCTTCCTCTCGTGTCAAGTATGGACAGTCAGTGTGCACGGCCAGAGGTTCTGCCAGCTGCCCAGGAGAGGTGCTTCATCCAGCCCCAAGCACCCCAGTGAATTTGGTGGGAAATGAAATGCATGTTGATTTTGCTGTGCCTTTGTGGGCAAAAGGTCTATTGTAGATGAGAAAGCTTTCTGTGCACTTAAGGTTTCCTATAGCAGTCGCTTAAGTGCACAGAAAAAATCTTAAAATGCACAATGTTGTCTCGGGTCTCCTCCCCTGCACCCCTCCTTAGCTGTTTTTGGCTGGTGCAGAGGCCCCAATTAACCCGCTGACCATGCACAACCCCCTCTAGACTTAAAATTTCATTCAGCACTCTCCCATTTCCAGCCAAGCTGGGCCGCTTCCTCGGCCTGGTGTCATGGACAGTCAGCGTGCACCACAGGAGGGTTCTGCCAGCTGTCCAGAGAGGCTCCATCCATTCTTAAGCACCCCAGGGGGTTAATGCAGGAAATGAAATGCATGTTACTTTTTGCTGTGCCTTTTGAAAAAGATCCATTGTGCATGCAAAGGCTTTCTGTGCACTTAAGGGTTTCCTATGGCAGTCCTTGAAGTGCACAGAAGAGCTGTAAATGCACTGTGATGTCTTGCCCCTCCCCTGCACCCTCTTGGCTGTTTTTGGCTGGTGCAGAGGCCCCACCAACCCATCCCACTGACCATAGCCACAGCCCTCTCACAGACTGAAAAATTTCATTCACACTCTCTCCCATTTTTAGCCAAGTTGGGCGGCTTCCTCGGGACCAGAGTATGGACAGTCAGTGTGCACCACAGAGGTTCTGCCAGCTGCCCAGGAGAGTTTCATCACAGGCTAAGCTAACTCTGGGGGGACTGGTAGGAAATGAAATGCATGTTATTTTTTTGCTGTGCCTTGTTTAAAAAAGGTCCATTGTGCATTCAAGGCTTGTGATGATGCCAAAATAAGGTTTCCTATAGCAGTCCTTAAAGTGCACAGAAAATTACTAAATGCAACAATGATGTCTTAGCCTCCTGCAATCTTCTCTTGGCTGTACTTGGCTGGTGCAGACGCCCCACCTTTATCCCTTTGACTATGTAATAACCCCTCTAGACTGGACGAGGTACATTCACTTTCTCTCCCATTTCAGCCAAGCTGGGCGGCTTCCTCATGCGGTCAGAAGCGGACAGTCAGTGTGCACCACAGGAGTTTCTGCTAGCTGCCCAGGAGAACTTCCATCCAGCCCCAAGCACCCCAGGGGACTGGTAGGAAATGAAATGCATGTTGTTTTTGTTGTGCCTTTTTTTAAAAAGGTTCATTGTGTGATGATAGGCTTTCTTGTACACTTAAGGTTTCTATAGCAGTCCTTAAGTGCACAGAAATATCTTAAATACTACAATCATGTTCTTAACCCCTCCCTGCACCCTCTTGGCTGTTTTTGGCTGGTGCAGAGGCCCCACACTATCCCTTTGACCATGCCTGGCTTAACCCCTCTAGACTGAAAATTTCATTCACACTCTCTCCCATTTCAGCCAAGCTGGAGCCTTCCACAGCGTCAAAGGCCCGACAGTCAGCGTGCACCACAGAGGTTCTGCCAGCTGCCCAGGAGAGCTTCATCAGCCCCAAGCACCCCAGGGGACTGGTAGAAATGAAATGCCATATTGTTTACTGCTGTGCCTTTTTAAAAAGGTCCATTGTTGCATTTAAGGTTTTCTGTGCTAAAAGTTTCCTATAGCAGTCCTTAAGTGCACAGAAAAACCTTAAATGCACAATGATGTCTTGGCCCCTCCCTGCACCCTCTTGGCTGTTTTTTGGCTGGTGCAGAGGCCCCACTTATCCCTTTGACCATGTACAACAACCCTCTAAACTGAAAATTTCATTCACTCTCTCCCATTTCAGCCAAGCTGGGCAGCTTCCTTAGGCATCAAGAGGACAGTCAGCGTGCACCACAGAGGTTCTGCCAGCTGCCCAGGAGAGCTTCATCCAGCCCCAAGCACCCCAGGGACTGGTAGGAAATGAAATGCATGTTGTTTTTGCTGTGCCTTTTTTGAAAAGGTCCATTGTGCATTAAAGGCTTTTTCTGTGCGCCCAAGGTTTCCCTATAGCAGTCCTTAAGTGCACAGAAGAAAAAAATCTTTAAATGCACAACAATGATGTCTTAACCCCTCCCTGCACCCTCTTGGCTGTTTTGGCTGGTTGCAGAGGCCCACCTGATCCCTTTGACCATGTACAACCCCTCTAGACTGAAAATTTCATTCACTCTCTCTCCCATTTCAGCCAAGCTGGGCAGCTTCCTCAGTAGCGTCAAGGCCGGACAGTCAGTGTGCACCACAGAGGTTCTGCCAGCTGCCCAGGAGAGCTTCATCCCAGCCCTAAGCACCCCAGGGGACTGGTAGGAAATGAAATGCATGTTGTTTTTGCTGTGCGGCGTTTAAAAGGTCCATTGTGCATTTAAGGCTTTCTGTGCACTAAGGTTTCCTATAGCAGTCCTTAAGTGCACAGAAAAATCTTAAATGCACAATATTGTCTAACCCCTCCCTGCACCCTCTTAGCTGTTTTGGCTGGTGCAGAGGCCCCACCTGATCGCTTTGACCATGTACAACCCCTCTAGACTGAAAAATTTCATTCACTCTCTCCCATTTCAGCCAAGCTGGGCCACTTTTTCAGCTGGCGTCGAAGGCGGACAGTCAGCGTGCACCACAGAGGTTCTGCCAGCTGCCCAGGAGAGCTTCATCCAGCCCCAAGCACCCCAGGGGACTGGTAGGAAATGAAATGCATGTTGTTTTGCTGTGCCTTTTTGAAAAAGGTCCATTGTGCATTTAAGGCTTTTCTGTGCACTTAAGGTTTCCTATAGCAGTCCTTAAGTGCACAGAAAAACCTTAAATGCACAATGATGTCTTGGCCCCTCCCTGCACTTCCCTCTTGGCTGTTTTTGGCTGGCAGAGGCCCCACCTTATCCCTTTGACCATGTACAACCCTCTAAACTGAAAAATTTCATTCACTCTCTCCCATTTCAGCCAAGCTGGGCCACTTCCTATGGCTGGCCAAGGCGACAGTCAGTGTGCACCACAGAGGTTCTGCCAGCTGCCCAGGAGAGCTTCATCCAGCCCCAAGCACCCCAGGGGACTGGTAGGAAATGAAATGCATGTTGTTTTGCTGTGCCTTTTGAAAAAGGTCCATTGTGCATTTAAGGCTTTTCTGTGTGCACTTAAGGTTTCCTATAGCAGTCCTTAAGTGCAGAGAAAACTCTTTAAATGCACAATGTCTTAACCCCCTCCTGCACCCCTCTTGGCTGTTTTTGGCTGGTGCAGAGGCCCCACCTGTATCCCTTTGACCATGTACAACCCTCTCTGACTTAAAATTTCATTCACTCTCTCTCCCATTTCAGCCAAGCTGGGCCACTTCCTTAGCGTCATTGGCAGCTGGACAGTCAGCGTGCACCACAGAGAGGTTCTGCCAGCTGCCCAGGAGAGCTTCATCCAGCCCCAAGCACCCCAGGGGACTGGTAGGAAATGAAATGCATGTTGTTTTGCTGTGCCTTTTTGTGGTCCATTGTGCATTTGTTTTTCTGTGCACTTAAGGCTTCCTATAGCAGTCCTTAAGTGCACAGAAAAATCTTAAATGCACAATGATGTCTTGGCCCCTCCCTGCACCCTCTTGGCTGTTTTTTGGCTGGTGCAGAGGCCCCACCATATCCCTTTGACCATGTACAACCCTCTCTCTGAACTGAAAATTCTCATTCACTCTCTCTCCCATTTCAGCCAAGCTGGGCCACTTTCTCGGCGTCAAGGCGGACAGTCAGCGTGCACCACAGAGGTTCTGCCAGCTGCCCAGGAGAGCTTCATCCAGCCCCAAGCACCCCAGGGGACTGGTAGGAAATGAAATGCATGTTGTTTTTCTTGCTGTGCCTTTTGAAAAGGTCCATTGTGCATTTAAGGCTTTTCTGTGCATAAGGTTTCCTATAGCAGTCTTATGGGCACAGAAAAATCTTAAATGCACAATGATGTCTTAGCCCCTCCCCTGCACCCTCTTGGTCTGTTTTTGGCTGGTGCAGAGGCCCCAACTCCATCTCTTTGACCATGTACAACCCCCTCTAGACTGAAAATTTCATTCACACACTCTCCCATTTCCAGCCAAGCTGGGCCGCTTCCTCGGCGTGTCAAGGCGTGACAGTCAGTGTGCACCACAGAGGTTCTGCCAGCTGCCCAGGAGAGCTTCATCCAGCCCCAAGCACCCCCAGGGGACTGGTAGGAAATGAAATGCATGTTGTTTTTGCTGTGCCTTTTTTAAAAGGTCCATTGTGCATTTAAGGCTTTTCTGTGCACTTAAGGTTTCCTATAGCAGTCCTTAAGTGCACAGAAAAACCTTAAATGCACAATGATGTCTTGGCCCTCCCTGCACCCTCTTTGCTGTTTCTTTTGGCTGGTGCAGAGGCCCCACCTTATCCCTTTGACCATGTACAACCCCTCTAGACTGAAAATTTCATTCACTCTCTCTCCCATTTCAGCCCAGTTGGGCCGCTTCCTCGCTGCGTCAAAGGCTATGGACAGTCAGGGTGCACCACAGAGGTTCTGCCAGCTGCCCAGGAGAGCTTCATCCAGCCCCAAGCACCCCAGGGGACTGGTAGGAAATGAAATGCATGTTGTTTTGCTGTGCCTTTTGAAAAAGGTCCATTGTGCATTTAAGGCTTTTCTGTGCACTTAAGGTTTCCTTTGCAGTCCTTAAGTGCACAGAAAACCTTAAATGCACAATGATGTCTTGGCCCTCCCTGCACCCTCTTGGCTGTTTTTGGCTGGTGCAGAGGCCCCACCTTTATCCCTTTTGACCATGTACAACCCCTCTAGACTTAAAATTTCATTCACTCTCTCTCCCATTTCAGCCAAGCTGGGCCACTTCCTTCCCAGCTGCAAGGCATAGGACAGTCAGCGTGCACCACAGAGGTTCTGCCAGCTGCCCAGGAGAGCTTCATCCAGCCCCAAGCACCCCCAGGGGACTGGTAGGAAATGAAATGCATGTTGTTTTGCTGTGCCTTTTGAAAAAGGTCCATTGTGCATTTAAGGCTTTTCTGTGCACTTAAGGTTTCCTATAGCAGTCCTTAAGTGCACAGAAAAATCTTAAATGCACAATGATGTCTTGGCCCCTCCCTGCACCCTCTTGGCTGTTTTTGGGCTGGTGCAGAGGCCCCACCTCTTATCCCTTTGACCATGTACAACCCTCTCTAGACTGAAAATTTCATTCACTCTCTCTCCCATTTCAGCCAAGCTGGGCCTTCCTCTCGGCGTGTCATATGACAGTCAGCATGCACCACAGAGGTTCTGCCAGCTGCCCAGGAGAGCTTCATCCAGCCCCAAGCACCCCAGGGGACTGGTAGGAAATGAAATGCATGTTGTTTTTGCTGTGCCTTTTTAAAAAGGTCCATTGTGCATTTAAGGCTTTTCTGTGCACTTAAGGTTTCCTATAGCAGTCCTTAAGTGCACAGAAAAACCTTAAATGCACAATGATGTCTTGGCCCCTCCCTGCACCCTCTTGGCTGTTTTTGGCTGGTGCAGAGGCCCCACCTTATCCCTTTGACCATGTACAACCCCTCTAGACTGAAAAATTTCATTCACTCTCTCTCTCCCATTTCAGCCAAGCTGGGCCACTTCCTTGGCGCCACAGGACAGTCAGCGTGCACCACAGAGGTTCTGCCAGCTGCCCAGGAGAGCTTCATCCAGCCCCAAGCACCCCAGGGGACTGGTAGGAAATGAAATGCATGTTGTTTTGCTGTGCCTTTTTGAAAAGGTCCATTGTGCATTTAAGGCTTTTCTGTGCACTTAAGGTTTCCTTTGCAGTCCTTAAGTGCACAGAAAAAACCTTAAATGCACAATGTTCAGTCTTGGCCCCTCCCTGCACCCTCTTGGCTGTTTTGGCTGGTGCAGAGGCCCCACCTTATCCCTTTGACCATGTACAACCCCTCTAGACTGAAAATTTCATTCACTCTCTCTCCCATTTCAGCCAAGCTGGGCCACTTCCTCATGGCACATATGACAGTCAGTCAGTGCACCACAGAGGTTCTGCCAGCTGCCCAGGAGAGCTTCATCCAGCCCCAAGCACCCCAGGGGACTGGTAGGAAATGAAATGCATGTTGTTTTGCTGTGCCTTTTTGAAAAAGGTCCATTGTGCATTTATGGCAGTTTTCTGTGCACTTAAGGTTTCCTATAGCAGTCCTTAAGTGCACAGAAAATCTTAAATGCACAATGATGTCTTGGCCCCTCCCTGCACCCTTCTTGGCTGTTTTGGCTGGTGCAGAGGCCCCACCTTATCCCTTTGACCATGTACAACCCCTCTCTAGACTGAAAATTTCATTCACTCTCTCTCCATTTCAGCTGCTGGGCCGCTTCCTTAGTGGTCAAGGCGGGACAGTCAGCGTGCACCACAGAGGTTCTGCCAGCTGCCCAGGAGAGCTTCATCCAGCCCCAAGCACCCCAGGGGACTGGTAGGAAATGAAATGCATGTTGTTTTTGCTGTGCCTTTTTTAAAAAGGTCCATTGTGCATTTAAGGTTTTCTGTGCACTAAAAGTTTCCTATAGCAGTCCTTAAGTGCACAGAAAAACCTTAAATGCACAATGATGTCTTGGCCCCTCCCTGCACCCTCTTGGCTGTTTTTGGCTGGTGCAGAGGCCCCACCTTATCCCTTTGACCATGTACAACCCCCTCTAAACTGAAAATTTCATTCACTCTCTCTCCCATTTCAGCCAAGCTGGGCCGCTTTCTCGGCGCGTCAAGGCGGACAGTCAGCGTGCACCACAGAGGTTCTGCCAGCTGCCCAGGAGAGCTTCATCCAGCCCCAAGCACCCCAGGGGACTGGTAGGAAATGAAATGCATGTTGTTTTTGCTGTGCCTTTTTTAAAAAGGTCCATTGTGCATTTAAGGCTTTTCTGTGCACTTAAGGTTTCCTATAGCAGTCCTTAAGTGCACAGAAAAATCTTAAAATGCACAATGATGTCTTGGCCCCTCCCTGCACCCTCTTGGCTGTTTTGGCTGGTGCAGAGGCCCCACCTTATCCCTTTGACCATGTACAACCCTCTCTAGACTGAAAATTTCATTCACACTCTCCCATTTCAGCCAAGCTGGGCCGCTTCCCTCGGCCATCAAGGCCCAGGACAGTCAGCGATGCACCACAGAGGTTCTGCCAGCTGCCCAGGAGAGCTTCATCCAGCCCCAAGCACCCCAGGGGACTGGTAGGAAATGAAATGCATGTTGTTTTGCTGTGCCTTTTTTAAAAGGTCCATTGTGCATTTAAGGCTTTTCTGTGCACTTAAGGTTTCCTATAGCAGTCCTTAAGTGCACAGAAAAAATCTTAAATGCACAATGATGTCTTGGCCCCTCCCTGCACCCTCTTGGCTGTTTTGGCTGGTGCAGAGGCCCCACCTATCCCTTTGACCATGTACAACCCCCTCTAGACTGAAAATTTCATTCACTCTCTCTCCCATTTCAGCCAAGCTGGGCCGGCTCTCTTAGGCGTCATGACAGTCAGTGTGCACCACAGAGGTTCTGCCAGCTGCCCAGGAGAGCTTCATCCAGCCCCAAGCACCCTCAGGGGACTGGTAGGAAATGAAATGCATGTTGTTTTTTCTGCTGTGCCTTTTTTGTAAAGGTCCATTGTGCATTTAAGGTTTCTGTGCACTTAAGGTTTCCTATAGCAGTCCTTAAGTGCACAGAAAAACCTTAAATGCACAATGATGTCTTGGCCCCTCCCTGCACCCTCTTGGCTGTTTTGGCTGGTGCAGAGGCCCCACCTTATCCCTTTGACCATGTACAACCCCCTCTAGACTGAAAAATTTCATTCACTCTCTCCCATTTCAGCCAAGCTGGGCCGCTTCCTCGGCGTCAAGGCGGACAGTCAGCTGCACCACAGAGGTTCTGCCAGCTGCCCAGGAGAGCTTCATCCAGCCCCAAGCACCCCAGGGGACTGGTAGGAAATGAAATGCATGTTGTTTTGCTGTGCCTTTTTTAAAAGGTCCATTGTGCATTTAAGGCTTTTCTGTGCACTTAAGGTTTCCTATAGCAGTCCTTAAGTGCACAGAAAAACCTTAAATGCACAATGATGTCTTGGCCCCTCCCTGCACCCTCTTGGCTGTTTTTGGCTGGTGCAGAGGCCCCACCTTATCCCTTTGACCATGTACAACCCTCTAGACTGAAAAATTTCATTCACTCTCTCTCCCATTTCAGCCAAGCTGGGCCGCTTCCTCGGCTGTCACAAGCGGACAGTCAGTGTGCACCACAGAGGTTCTGCCAGCTGCCCAGGAGAGCTTCATCCAGCCCCAAGCACCCCAGGGACTGGTAGGAAATGAAATGCATGTTGTTTTTGCTGTGCCTTTTTTAAAAAGGTCCATTGTGCATTTAAGGCTTTTCTGTGCACTTAAGGTTTCCTATAGCAGTCCTTAAGTGCACAGAAAAATCTTAAATGCACAATGATGTCTTGGCCCCTCCCTGCACCCTCTTGGCTGTTTTTGGCTGGTGCAGAGGCCCCACCTTATCCCTTTGACCATGTACAACCCCTCTAGACTGAAAATTTCATTCACTCTCTCTCCCATTTCAGCCAAGCTGGGCCACTTCCTCGGCGCGTCAAGGCGGACAGTCAGCGTGCACCACAGAGGTTCTGCCAGCTGCCCAGGAGAGCTTCATCCAGCCCCAAGCACCCCAGGGGACTGGTAGGAAATGAAATGCATGTTGTTTTGCTGTGCCTTTTTGAAAAAGGTCCATTGTGCATTTAAGGCTTTTCTGTGCACTTAAGGTTTCCTATAGCAGTCCTTAAGTGCACAGAAAAACCTTAAATGCACAATGATGTCTTGGCCCCTCCCTGCACCCTCTTGGCTGTTTTTGGCTGGTGCAGAGGCCCCACCTGATCCCTTTGACCATGTACAACCCCCTCTAGACTGAAAATTTCATTCACTCTCTCTCCCATTTCAGCCAAGCTGGGCCACTTCCTTAGCGGCGCAAAAGTGACAGTCAGCGTGCACCACAGAGGTTCTGCCAGCTGCCCAGGAGAGCTTCATCCAGCCCCAAGCACCCCAGGGGACTGGTAGGAAATGAAATGCATGTTGTTTTGCTGTGCCTTTTTTAAAAAGGTCCATTGTGCATTTAAGGCTTTTCTGTGCACTTAAGGTTTCCTATAGCAGTCCTTAAGTGCACAGAAAAATCTTAAATGCACAATGATGTCTTGGCCCCTCCCTGCACCCTCTTGGCTGTTTTGGGCTGGTGCAGAGGCCCCACCTTATCCCTTTGACCATGTACAACCCTCTCTAGACTGAAAATTTCATTCACTCTCTCTCCCATTTCAGCCAAGCTGGGCCGCTTCCTCGGCGTGTCAAGGCGGACAGTCAGCGATGCACCACAGAGGTTCTGCCAGCTGCCCAGGAGAGCTTCATCCAGCCCCAAGCACCCCAGGGGACTGGTAGGAAATGAAATGCATGTTGTTTTGCTGTGCCTTTTTTAAAAAGGTCCATTGTGCATTTAAGGCTTTCTGTGCACTTAAGGTTTCCTATAGCAGTCCTTAAGTGCACAGAAAAACCTTAAATGCACAATGATGTCTTGGCCCCTCCCTGCACCCTCTTGGCTGTTTTTGGCTGGTGCAGAGGCCCCACCTTATCCCTTTGACCATGTACAACCCCCTCTAAACTGAAAATTTCATTCACTCTCTCTCCCATTTCAGCCAAGCTGGGCGCTTCCTTCGGCCGTCAAGGCGGACAGTCAGCGTGCACCACAGAGGTTCTGCCAGCTGCCCAGGAGAGCTTCATCCAGCCCCAAGCACCCCGGGGGACTGGTAGGAAATGAAATGCATGTTGTTTTTGCTGTGCCTTGTTTAAAAAGGTCCATTGTGCATTTAAGGCTTTTCTGTGCACTTAAGGTTTCCTATAGCAGTCCTTAAGTGCACAGAAAAACTTAAATGCACAATGATGTCTTGGCCCCTCCCTGCACCCTCTTGGCTGTTTTTGGCTGGTGCAGAGGCCCACCTGATCCCTTTGACCATGTACAACCCCCTCTAGACTGAAAATTTCATTCACTCTCTCTCCCATTTCAGCCAAGCTGGGCCGCTTCCTCAGCGCGTCAAAGGCGGACAGTCAGTGTGCACCACAGAGGTTCTGCCAGCTGCCCAGGAGAGCTTCATCCAGCCCCAAGCACCCCAGGGGACTGGTAGGAAATGAAATGCAAGTTGTTTTTGCTGTGCCTTGTTTAAAAAGGTCCATTGTGCATTTAAGGCTTTTCTGTGCACTTAAGGTTTCCTATAGCAGTCCTTAAGTGCACAGAAAAATCTTAAATGCACAATGATGTCTTGGCCCCTCCCTGCACCCTCTTGGCTGTTTTTGGCTGGTGCAGAGGCCCCACCTTATCCCTTTGACCATGTACAACCCTCTCTAGACTGAAAATTTCATTCACACTCTCTCCCATTTCAGCCAAGCTGGGCCGCTTCCTCGGCGTGTCAAGGCGGACAGTCAGCGTGCACCACAGAGGTTCTGCCAGCTGCCCAGGAGAGCTTCATCCAGCCCCAAGCACCCCAGGGGACTGGTAGGAAATGAAATGCATGTTGTTTTTGCTGTGCCTTTTTTAAAAAGGTCCATTGTGCATTTAAGGCTTTTCTGTGCACTTAAGGTTTCCTATAGCAGTCCTTAAGTGCACAGAAAAACTTTAAATGCACAATGATGTCTTGGCCCCTCCCTGCACCCTCTTGGCTGTTTTGGCTGGTGCAGAGGCCCCACCTTATCCCTTTGACCATGTACAACCCCTCTAGACTGAAAATTTCATTCACTCTCTCTCCCATTTCAGCCAAGCTGGGCCGCTTTCTCGGCGGCGTCAAAGGCGGACAGTCAGTGTGCACCACAGAGGTTCTGCCAGCTGCCCAGGAGAGCTTCATCCAGCCCCAAGCACCCCAGGGGACTGGTAGGAAATGAAATGCATGTTGTTTTTGCTGTGCCTTTTTTAAAAGGTCCATTGTGCATTTAAGGCTTTTCTCTGTGCACTTAAGGTTTCCTATAGCAGTCCTTAAGTGCACAGAAAAACCTTAAATGCACAATGATGTCTTGGCCCCTCCTGCACCCTCTTGGCTGTTTTGGCTGGTGCAGAGGCCCCACCTTATCCCTTTGACCATGTACAACCCCTCTAGACTGAAAATTTCATTCACTCTCTCTCCCATTTCAGCCAAGCTGGGCCACTTCCTCGGCGTCAAGGCGGACAGTCAGCGTGCACCACAGAGGTTCTGCCAGCTGCCCAGGAGAGCTTCATCCAGCCCCAAGCACCCCAGGGACTGGTAGGAAATGAAATGCATGTTGTTTTTGCTGTGCCTTTTTAAAAGGTCCATTGTGCATTTAAGGCTTTTCTGTGCACTTAAGGTTTCCTATAGCAGTCCTTAAGTGCACAGAAAAAATCTTAAATGCACAATGATGTCTTGGCCCCTCCTGCACCCTCTTGGCTGT